CAGGCCCAGGTAAGCTATAGTTATTAATATCATTCTTTCAATGAGAAGAACTGCCGAACTTAACGTGTATGAATGGTCCCTTAAAGTTAAGCCAGAAGAAGCTTACAGCGCTCTGAACAAGTTTGAATTGAACGGTTACATTGGATTAGAGTTTATCATTATTAATTGAAAGGACACCGACTGCTTTGAACAGAGACGAAGACATCGGAGTAACCTATATAGGAATACACTGCTCAGTTGCTTTTATTTGAATCAGTCCCGGGTGGAATTGGGGTTTTTGTCCACAGATTTGAAAACGTAGAACTCTGAATTTCCTTGTGACGTACGGCTTAATATTAGTACCTTATAGAGACGTATTGCTTAACAGAATTTCATTCAGTTAAATAGCCACACTTCAGGATTTCAATCAAAGGATAAAAGTGAAAACCTCTTTTTACAACATAGTAAACAGCGCCACACGAAAGCACTGCTCAGAAGCTCTTATTTAAAATGTAGAAATTAAGGATTTCATCTGCTGCATGTATCAAATGACTAAAACATCCTCATGTAAAACCTATTGAATAGTGCCATAGGAACGTACTGCTCAGAGAAGCAGTCTCCAGCCTTTGTCTCATACCTAAGTTAAAGACCATGTGCATAAGATCTATTTTATTGTAATTCATTGTATTTTCTGAGTGGGGTAATTATTACTTTTATTGCTTCGGACGAACGTGATTGATTAACGAAGGTGGTTGATTCTGCGAATATTGCTCGTTGAAAAATATGCGGCCCTCGACTTAAGTGCCTTTAACAAAGAAGTGTTAAGTAAATATTCAATATTAACAAATTAGTTTTGAGTTTCCAAATAAATAGATTTTCTGAAAGTAGTTGGGGCAAGTGGAATGCAAGAAGGCAGGAAATCGGATCGAAGCAATCGTTTCAATTATTTTCCCTTCAAAGAGGCCCTCATACGCTTTAGAGGGAGGAAGGGAATCGGAACAGGCGACCAAGATTATCATTCAATTCTCGGGAAAGGAATATACGTCCCTCTGGTGTCACCTTTTCGTTACAGACTGGGTTCTCTTACTTCCAGTAATACAAACAACTCTGTAATGCGGGTGCTAGGCTGTTTATACCTTTAGTACTACAATTATCAAGCCTAGATTATAATCCACTGGGTTTAAGACTAGCACTGGTTTTTATGCAAAGTATACCAGTCTTGTCAGAAACTTGGCAACACGGGAGAATTATCAGGTGGCATTTTTTCGATATAGCCGTCTGGGCAAAGAAAAAATTAGATCAATATTGGGGTAAAAGTAAAATTTCCGCTTATATTTTGTATACCGTGGAATTTTACTTTTCATCATATTTGTTGTTGTTGTTGTACTTTCAACTAAAAGGAGCTCTCGGGGGAGTGTTGCATTTTTAAAACGAAACGCAGAAAAACATATCGAGAAAACATCGTGAAAGACTGAGTAGATTTTATTAAAAAAGGCAAAGCAAGTGAAGCTAAGAATTCCTTTTTTATATATAAGAACGCTAAAACAATGGAAGTTCATGTGATAGACAGTTCGAGTTATCTGTGATCAATTCTTCATTTAAGTCTAGCAAACAGTATTTTGGATCGCGGATTTGTCCGGCGACGTGTCGTTATGACGTCTGAAGTGCTCAAACGCGCTCTGACTGGAAATCGTTTAGTTGCAAAACATCCTTAACCACCTCATAGAATTACTTGCAATTTTCACTCAAATTAATTGGATTGAATTTTACCTCATTTGAGCACGCTTTAAAACGTTTTAGGTGAAAAAACGCTATTATATAATATAAACATCTCTACAACACTCGCCAACCGTTTGTGGAAAGAACGGAAACGGATATAAACCCTTATGAAACTACAGGAGCCTACAACCTACAAAGCTTATAAAGTTATGTAACAGATGCGGTGCAATTTAAAGATTTAAAGTAGCCCTGCGCGCCGCTTTTGTTAGTCGAAGGTAGACATAACACTTTTTATTAAACGTATTTAATTTTACGGTGACCAAACTTGCAAGCTTGGTCAGTCGACAAACAATACATGTCTTCCGAACTTATCCTTGGACGGTGTTCTAACCTATCTTTAACTTCTACTACATTGATTTTAAAAATGTGTAAAAAATACTCTGTAAAAGTACAATATCTGACAATGTGACCTTCACCGCTTCTCAAACACACTCAGAACCACAACATACTGTACGTGTTGAAATAAAATGGTCTGTACTGAGAGATTCAAGCTCAACCAGGTAGTGAAATGAATTCCCCACGAAGTCGTTTCAGGCTAGACAAAAATAGCACAGATCATCGACGCGCGATAGTAAAAACTGCAACGAATAATTGTAATTGAATGAGTGAATACGGACGATACTGCTCTCCCAAAATTCTTAATCATTCGAGATTATGCCAATATTGTACGAGATGCAGGGTACTTCATATTTAATCGTAATTATACCTTCATGAACGACAATCTTTTTCAGTCTTATTTTCGATGAGAAAAAAAAAAAATATATATATATATAAATATATACAGATATCCCAATTTCATCCTCTGAGCAGATATGATGTGATATTATTTTTCTTATTCATTTAGATCCATTTATTTTTAAAGAAATTTGCCCAATTTATCTTTCTGGCCTGTGATAAACGTTTTAATGGAACACTGAATGCAAAATATTAAAATTGAAGTGTTTCGATATAGTTTTACAGAGGCCATACCGATATTTTTCAATCGCTTTAAAAATTATTTTATTCTTGTCTGATCGCTATAAAATTTTCCCCAATGATTGACTATAGATTGAAATTTGTTAAAATGTAGGTTTTAGTAAAATCGATATTACTATGACAACAATAAACAGAAAACTTTGAAATTGATAAACGCCTAATTTTGCGCGATCTAGACCAGCTACTGAAAATCCAACACTAGGAATTGTGTTTAGCAAATACCTCCGTAAGTAGTAAAAAAAACTGTATGTTTGAATTCGACTAAAACGAAAATATCTTTCAAACCTTGAATTTTCAATAACCGTGATAGATTATTTAATAAATACGTTATAAATGACTTAAATTATTCTTAAGTAGCGTCAGAATGCTGCTTAATACCATATTTCGATGCTAGGAAATTTTGGTGTATTTTTGCGATCTTAAAAACTAACTCTTGTTCTCACCACCTGTCTAAGTGCAACTTCATTCAAAATTTGGACTTTTAGCGCTTTTTTGTATATCTCCGAAACGACTCGAATGAATTTTTGAAAAATCTCTTCACATAATTTTCATAATGTATATAATAATGTCTGAAACTTTCATCAAGATTGATTTACTGCAACACCTTGAAACTTCAAGACAAACCTATCGTACGAACCGGTCAAAAATCTGTGCTACAACATTCACTGTTTTGACGTTATGCTAATTTTTTTCCAAATTAATGCGGACAATACATATATCCATGACTAGTACATTTCAGTGTGAGTATTGTCAATGTTTTACATTCAAAAGATGCGTTTAACTCAAACTAAAATGTACTAGTCATGGAGGTATGTATAGTGCGCATTATTTTGGAAAAATTAGCGTAACGTCAAAACAGTGAATGTTGTAACGCAGATTTTTGACAGGTTCGTAGGATAGGTTTGTCTTGAAATTTCAAGATGCTGCAGTGAACCAATCTCAATGAAAGTTTCAGACCTTATTATATACATTATGAAGATTATGTGAAGAGATTTTTAAAAAAAATTCGTTGGAGTCGTTTCAGAGATATACAAAAGAGCACTAAAAGTCCAAATTTTGAATGAAGTTGCACTTATACAGTTGGTGAGAAAACGGGTTAGTTTTCAAGATTGCAAGAACGAAAATACACCAAAATTTCCTAGCATCGAAATATGATATTAAGCAGCATTCTGACGCTACTTAAGAATAATATGAGTCATTTATAACGTTTTTATCAAATAATCTATCACGGCTATTGAAAGTTTAAGGTTTGAAATATATTTTCGTTTTAGTCGAATTCAAACAGACAGAATTTTTTACTTCTTACGGAGATTGTTTGCTAAACACCAAGCTGGTCTAGATCACACAAAATTCGGCGTTTATCAATTTTTATTCATTGTTGTCATAGTAATATCGATTTTACTTAAAACTACATTTTCACAAATTTCAATCCATAGCCAATTACTGGTGAGAATTTTATAGCGATCGGACAAGGAAAAACCACTTTTAAGGCGATTGAAAAATATCGGTATGGCTCTGAAAAACTCCATCGAAACACCTTTAAGAATTCAAATTTCATTTGATCATGTGAAAGTAGAAGAAATACTGCCGAAGCCGATTTTGTATGAAAGTAAAATGAAGAATTTCCTTCAAACTTAACTGGGAAAATTGATTCAATCCATATTGATTATTTCAATAAAGGGTTTAGCACTCAGTCGTAATTTTGTGCTTCGAGATTTTTACCAGATGGGTAATGATCACACACACGTGTGTGGGATGAACTTCCTAGAATGATTACCTTTCAGATGGCGGACTTTCTTATTTTTAATCTAAGAGATTGTATACCCCATTTACAATGCACACACGTATTGATAACTTGTATCATGTGGATATTCTACTTCGGATAAATATACTCTACAGTCAGTACCAAAAAGTATGAATGTTAATTGAAGCTCACAAGGTGGTCATCTATGACTGGCCGCCATTTTGACGTTAAAAAGATGTGTGATTTATACTGTAAGGGCAGTGTAAAAAATATGTGCTATGGTATGTTTTTTCGTTTTAAGATAGACCACTGACTATTGTTGAAAACTCCTCGAACATTTGTGACAGAAATTGAATGAGCGATGAAAATAAAAGTGCTTCATAGATGACGTACACATACGCCCTCGTTATTCTGTTTCAGTCGTTCAGGCCTATGACCCTGGTTGTCATGACGTTTTTACTGCGTCGTTTAGTTAGCAATCAGACGGTTTAAATATCTAGTAAAACGCGAGGCTTTTTTGTAGATGAGCGAAGAAGACGCGGAGACAAAGGGCGATGCAGGTGAAGAAACGGCCCCTTTGCACATGGAAGCCAAAGACAGCAAAGAAGACCTTCGGTATGGCTGGAGAAATGTCAGGCCGCAGTGTTTGCAAGTCCTTAACAGTCCCAAATTCTTCGTGTTTGCTTTGGCAACGTTTGGTTTTGTTCAAGGTAACTAACGGAACTGTAAAGTTTGTTGGTGAAAATGATTTTTAAATCATTTCGCATGTATATAAGGATGACGTTATTTCTTGACTGATTTTGTGGCGCCGAGTGAAAAGTCAGTAAAAGCTGGCTTGTCATTGAAGTGAAATATACTCGCAAAACCTGTAGGACGACATGGTAGGTTTAAAAATGTCGAAATCAAAATCACTACATATAGGTCTCTCTTATCTTTGAAAACGGAGATTTCCTATTTTTCTCCGTTGTAGCCTGAATTCCTTCCTTGCGTAAACGGCGTTTCCGGGCACCAAAAACGCAGGTTTTCGATAACGGCCCCCAGAGTGGTGGTTTTTTTTTGCTTTTAGGTGTGAAAAGACGAAAACGGAGATTTTGAATACGATGATGTCATACATCTTATCTAACTAGCATTACGCATGCTCTGTGAGGGATGCTATCGTATTTCGATCGTTTTAAATTTATCATTAGTTTTTTCATATAGACGGGCGAAAACTGTTCAAATTGTTTTTGGCGTTTGTAGGCATGTGTGTCAGTGGTTTTACCAATCTCTACCTGCTGACCTTGGAAAAAAGGTTTCAACTTACCAGCACTGAAGTTGGATTTGTGGCGGCGTCCAATGATATCGCGGGAATTGTGTTAACAGCTCTGGTCAGCTTTTATGGTACATATGGAAACAAGCCCAGGTGGCTTGGGTACGGCTGCGCTATAACAGGTAAACTATTCAAACTCAATTCACTAAACTGTAATCAGCATTTCAGTTGCGGAGATAGTGCTTCTAAAGCTAATTTTGTCATTATAGTTAAGTACGCTTGTCCTTGCATTTTCAATTTTGCAATCTTACGGTTGTAGGGAAAAAAGCACCTTTTCAGTCTATGGGTTTATACCATTGATACTATATTCTCAAACTCATTAATTATTCATGCAGTCAAAAGCCAATAAATGACGTGCATTTGGGTCAGGTAAATGAATCTTGATACCTAATGAAACACTAGATAAAACACTTCCAGGTTTTTAGTTGAAACACGTTTTTCATCTGAGGTCAAACACTTGCATTTTAATGAGACGTTTTATTGATTAAGACAACTCATGGAAACAATGCAACATGTTTTGCAATACCAGAGAAAACATGTCACACTGCGGTAATTTCTTACTGTTTCATTTTGAAGACTTGTAAGAAACTCGGGCTTCATGCTTCATCACGGGTTCCAAACGCCTCGATGAAGCACTCGCCCACGTTTTTTGACATATTACGTCAAACCTTAGGTACCTTTGAGTTGTTGTTTAATGAATTCCTAGAGAAAGCGGGAGAGGATGAGAAATCCATACTCTCCACCTGGGTGAAGCCGGTCCGGGGGAGACTCCCATATGAAAGGGACCGGGATGCTTGTCGTCCCGCTTAGGGGTGTAAATTTTGCATTTTGGTCTCACTTAGGGTGTTCTGGGCAAAACGCCTTTATATTTAGCCGTAAAGGTCTCTTTTAGGGTTGCACGCGAAGGTGTATTAACAAATTTCTCATTTTCAATTCTTTTTGTGTACACGATTCATGTAATCAAAGTTTAAAACGGTCTCTTTTAGGGGTCAAAAAAGGGTTGGGCCACGCCCAGATTGGTCTCCTTTAGGGGTTTAATTCAAAATTTCCGACGAGCATCCCCGCCCCTTTCATATGGAAGTTTCCCCGGGGAAGCCGGTTAGCTTGAATTTGATAATTATTCACCATCCCTTTCAAAAACAAAATGAGTATCATACTCTCTACCTATTGTCCACCAAACACAATTTAGTTTCTGTAGATACTGAGACTATCAGTACAAATAGAAAGAAAAATCTTAAAAAATAAATGCTTAGATAGATATTGAAAAATAAAATTTATAGATACTGAGACTATCACTATCTCATATACGCCTCATGTTTTGTCGCAGGTCTCGGATGTCTAATATTTGTTCTTCCACAAGCTCTAGTTGGTCGCTACGAGCCTCTGTTAAACTCAAACGGATTCGGTAATGGAGAGCTTTGTCAGCTGAGCGTTAATGGTACTTCAGAATTCTGCTTTTCTAATTATGGTGGTCGATGGTATTACATATTCATCTTTTTCTTGGCACAGTTACTTATGGGTGGTGGAACAACTCCGCTGTACACTCTTGGGCCAGCGTACATCGATGAAAATGTCCATCCAAAATCGTCACCAATCTACCTGGCGGTGTTTTTCGCCTCTAGCTTGTTGGGGCCTGGTTTGGGGTTCATATCTGGTGGCTCCCTGTTGAAGATCTACGTGGATGTGACTCAGGTAACTCGGTTTGTATGTATTTTTCGAACAAAGAATCAGTAGGAAAAGAATCTATAATATTAGAGTCTTGTATTAAGCTAAAAATAGATGTTTTTGAGAGCCAGACACTTTTCTTAACAAAACTTTTATTTTATAACATCATCTTTATTGTCCGGCCTGCCTTACCCGCTCAAGTTGAAAAAATTAGTATAGGAGAGATGTACGATAATACCTACAACTTTTGACGTAACAGACGAAATCTTTTCATGTGAACCTTGAATTGCTTGAAATCAATCTCGCAACGAAAAATCCCCTTATGCTATGTTATCCTTGTAAATTCCCTTTCTCTCTGTACATAAAATGTTGCCTCCAGGGGAAATTTACTTCCAACCGGGGACAAAGTCATTTCTCTGTTGGAATTACCTTGGAACCTCTATTCAGGGGACACCCTTGGGACTAGGTCAAGTGTCCCCTGAATATAGGTGTCCCCTATCCTGAATTTCAGACGATTATTTCGAGTGGTTTTTCTCACTGAGGGAGTAAAAACGACTCGAAGTAATCGTCTGAAATTCATGCTAGGTGTCCCCTAAATGGAGGTTGGGCTGGGCTTTGAAAATAGTTAACCAACAAATAAAATCTTTTTCTTTTATTCTGCCTCGGTATTAGCCTACGAATAGCAGACGTTCGCAGGCTACCTCGGTATCTGCTGCGGTCATAATTTGAAGCAGTAGATAATACCGTGACTCAATTATCTCTGCGATGTTGTGCATTGAATTCGATTCCCACAAGTTTGACAAATCGATTTTAGTGGGAGTAGTTCATATTTTAAAAGCTATAACCATTTTGACTGGTGAACAATGAAACTTATCAACCCTTTTCGTGGTAAGTCACTTTTCGAGTACTAAAGTGTCACCTGGAAGGAGGTTAAAACTAGGTTCCAGAAAAAGTGTCCCTTTCCCCCTGAATAGAGGTGTCTCTTCAACAGAGGTAACAAATATAAAGATTATGTGAACATTTTTCAGGGACCAAATTTTGTGTCCCCTGAATGGAGGTGTCCCTTGAATAGACGTATCCCAAAGGAGAAGTTCCACTGTAATTCTTTGCAGCTGGGAAAAAACGTATTGCATTGTCATGGTCTTAGGACAACATCGAGATATTGTGGTATCGTGAATACCAGAGGTTTTTTTTCTTGCATGCAGCGGGATGCTTTCGTGTCGATCGCCTCCTTGAGGGCGTCAATTAAGATCCTTGAAAGATCCTCACTAAATCTTCAAGGATCTTGAAGGATCTTTACAAAGATCTCTTTAACCCTGAAGAATCCTCTTACATTCTTAAAGATCTTGAAGGATCCTAGCTAGGTTCTAAAAGATCCTTGAAGATGTGATTTAAAGATCCTTTTAAGGATCTTCGCTAAATTTTCAAGGATCTTAAAGGATCTTTACAAAGATCTTTGCAAGGATTTTTGAAAAGATATTTGAAAGATCCTCATCATTTCCTGGAGGATCTTCAAGGGATCGTTTGGAGATCCTTATCCTTCAAGATCTTTGCAGATATTTGATGATCCTTAAAGATCCTGTGAAGATTTTCACCAGGGAAAGCACGAGCGGTCACAACTTTTACCGAAACCCGAATAACCGCGCATGAAAAGTGGCTCTGGCACCCAGGGTAAAGAACACCCGGGATAAAACTAAGCCCAGGAAGAATGGCTGAGATAAAATCTTTTGCCTGATTATTTTCCTTTAGCCTGAAGGATCAAACCTTACTCCTGATGATCCCCAGTGGATAGGAGCTTGGTGGATCGGCTTTCTGTTCGGGGGCTTTATACTTCTTCTCATGACCGGACTTCTGCTAGGATTTCCCCGAGAGCTACCGGGTGCAAAACGCATGCGCGAAGAAGCAGCCAAGGAGGGACAAATTCCAAAAAAAGACGAAAGACTTCAAGGGAACATTAAGGACATTTTGCCAGCTACCCTTCAACTACTGAAGGCGCCTGTTTTTATTTTTAATTCCTTGGGAATAACTTCCAGTTCACTGTTTGGTGCTGGGATAGCTTCGTTCTTGCCCAAGATTCTCCAGCTTAAATATGGACTCAGTCCATTCATAACAGGAGCTGTCATTGGGACGATCTTAGTACCAGGAACAGTAGGTAGTTATCTCGGATTAACTTAGCTTTCTGGGAAACTGCCCACCTACCCTTCCCCTAAGCCAACATTTTACCCTAAGTGAGAAGTAAGTGATGAGAAGGAACTGATAATGTTGGCTTAGGGGAGGGATAGGTGGGCAGTTTCCGAAAAAACTTAAATTGATCCGTTATCTCAAGTTATTTGCTTGACGACTTGTCTTCCTTTGCAGTGTCTTAAAAGTAGAAAATAAAACTTAATTTGTCCACCCCCACTGAAAGTTCGTTACCGCATGCATATGGAATCTGGATATTCAGATTCCCATGATCTTTGTACTGCCAAAGTTATGATTTGATTGGTATTGTTTAAGACCCTCTGATGTGAAAAAATATAATAATTGTCCAGTTTAACTTGGAATTAGTCTATTAATCTGCCTAATCTATAAGTATGTCTTTGGCTTTTCATTATAACCAGCAAAAATTGGGCCAGCAAAGGTTTTTCGAGAACGGATCATACATTGTCATCTCCTTGAGAGAGTAGCTCAGGGTTCCTGGTCAGATGAGAAAAGATCAGCTGAGCATACTCAGTTTTTATATCAGCCCAGCTTCGACCCAAAATTGTGAAATTCACCGGAACATAGCGCCATTAATTACTTGTATGCCGTTTTGCCAAGAATGATTCTATTCTCTAGGCACTGAGACTTACAGTTCCACCAAGTGATCTCTTGGTTCCCACGCAGACGTTCTTAGGGCTTCGTCACGCGTTCCTTCCCTGATTGCGTGACGCGTGAGGGGCGAAAAGAACGTCTGTGTGGGAGGCTTCACAAAAATGATTTTTCCGTCTTTGTCTCATCTATAGGTGGTATCTTTTTGGGTGGATTTATCGTCCGGAAATTTGACCTGAAGAAGTCGTTAAAGATGGCTGCCAGGTTTTGCGTCATCTGTCAAGTCTTCACCATCATAGGATCTGGTGCATGGTTTATTCCTGGATGTGGCACCCCGGATTTAGCTGGACTATTAGTTCCGTATAATGGTGGCAGGTGAGAGGCAATTATATTCTTGTACTACTCTTTATCATCTCTATTATTGGTACTTCATTTCGCTGGTCTTTAATTTTGCTTTTTTGCGATTGTAAAAATAGAGAAATTTTTTTACTTAAAGACCTGCGAAAAAAACCTTGCGAAATCAAGAGAGGATAAAGGGGACAGAGAAGGCATCCCCCATACACACCCTATTCCATAGGTAATTCGTCTCGAGTTATTTTTAGAATCGGGATAAAGTTACCTCGCGCGCTGCGTGGATGTTATAGAGGTGTCTCTTCAACAGAGGTAACAAATATAAAGATTATGTGAACATTTTTCAGGGACCAAATTTTGTGTCCCCTGAATGGAGGTGTCCCTTGAATAGACGTATCCCAAAGGAGAAGTTCCACTGTACTTCTTTGCAGCTGGGAAAAAACGAATTGCATTGTCATATTCTTAAGACAAAATCGAGATATTGTGGTATCGTGAATACCAGAGGTTTTTTTCTCTTGCATGCGGCGGGATGCTTTGGTGTCGATCGCCTCCTTGAGGGCGTCAATTACGATCCTTCAAAGATCTTCACTAAATCTTCAAGGATCTTGAAGGATCTTTACAAAGATGTCTTTAAGATCCTCTGAAGGATCCTTTCAAGATCCTGAAGGATCCTCTTATATTCTTAAAGGATCCCAGTTAGGTTCTAAAAGATTCTTCAGGATATGATTTAAAGATCCTTAAAGGATCTTAGCAAAATCTTCAAGGATCTTAAAGGATCTTTACAAAGATCTCTGCAAGGATTTTTGAAAAGATATTTGAAAGATCCTCATCATTTCCTCGAGGATCTTCAAGGGATCGTTAAGAGATCCTTCTCCTTCAAGATCTTTGCAGATCTTTGACGATCCTCAAAGATTCTGAAGGATCCTGTGAAGATTTTCACCAGGGAAAGCACGAGCGGTCACAACTTTTACCGAAACCCCAATAACTGTGCATGAAAAGTGGCTCTGGCACCCGGGGTAAAGAACACCCAGGATAAAACTAAGCCCAGGAAGAATGGCTGAGATAAAATTCTTTTGCCTGATTATTTTCCTTTAGCCTGAAGGATCAAACCTTACTCCTGATGATCCCCAGTGGATAGGAGCTTGGTGGATCGGCTTTCTGTTCGGGGGCTTTATACTTCTTCTCATGACTGGACTTCTGCTAGGATTTCCCCGAGAGCTACCGGGTGCAAAACGCATCCGCGAAGAAGCAGCCAAGGAGGGACAAATTCCAAAAAGAGACGAAAGACTTCAAGGGAACATTAAAGACATTTTGCCTGCTACACTTCAACTACTGAAGGCGCCTGTTTTTATTTTTAATTCCTTGGGAATTACTTCCAGCTCACTGTTTGGTGCTGGCATAGCTTCGTTCTTGCCCAAGATTCTCCAGCTTAAATATGGACTCAGTCCATTCATAACAGGAGTTATCATTGGGACGATCTTAGTACCAGGAACAGTAGGTAGTTATCTCGGATTAATCTAGGTTTCTGGGAAACTACCTGCCTACCCCTCCCCTGAGCCAACATTTTGCCCTAAGTGAGAAGTAAGTGATGAGAAGGAACTGATAATGTTAGCTTAGGGGAGGGATAGGTGGCAGTTTCCGAAAAAACTTAAATTGATCCGTTATCTCAAGTTATTTGCTTTCAAATTTGACGACTCGTCTTCCTTTGCAGTGTCTTTAAAGTATAAAATAAAACTTACTGAATTTGTCCACCCCCACTGAAAGTTCGTTACCGCATGCATATGGAATCTGGACATTCAGATTCCTATGATCTTTGTACTGCCAAAGTTATGATTTTATTGGTATTGCTTAAGACCTTCTGATATAAAAAAAATATAATAATTGTCCAGTTTAACTTGGAATTAGTCTATTAATCTGCCTAATCTATAAGTATGTCTTTGGCTTTTCATTATAACTCGCAAAAATTGGGCCAGCAAAGGTTTTTCGAGAACGGATCATACATTGTCATCTCCTTGAGAGAGTAGCTCAGGGTTCCTGGTCAGATGAGAAAAGATCAGCTGAGCATACTCAGTTTTTATATCAGCCTAGCTTCGACCCAAAATTGTGAAATTCACCAGGACATAGCGCCATTAATTATTTGTATGCCGCTTTGGCAAGATTGACTCTATTCTCTAGGCGCTGAGACTTACAGTTCCACCAAGTGATCTCTTGGCTCCAACGCAGACGTTCTTAGGGCTTCGTCACGTGTTCCTTCCCTGATTGCGTGGCGCGTGACGAGCCAAAAGAACGTCTGCGTGGGAGGCTAAAGCAAAATAATTTTTCCGTCTTTGTCTCATCTGTAGGTGGTATCTTTTTGGGTGGATTTATCGTCCGGAAATTTGACCTGAAGAAGTCGTTAAAGATGGCTGCCAGATTTTGCGTCATCTGTCAAATCTTCACCATCATAGGATCTGGATCATGGTTTATTCCCGGATGTGGTCTCCCGGATTTAGCTGGACTATTAGTTCCGTATAATGGTGGCAGGTAGGAGGCCATAATATTCTTGTACTGCTCTTTGTCATCTGCCTTATTGGTACTTAATTTCGCTGGTCTTTAATTTTGCGTTTTTCGGGATTGTAAAAATAGAGAAGCTTTTTTTACATAAAGACCTGCGAAAAAATCCTTGCGAAATATAATACCCATATAGAAAATTCAAATCACAGAAAATCAATTGCCAAGGGATGGAAGAAGGCGGGCATTAGTGAAGTAATTAATGGTTCAAAGGAACTGTCACCTGAAGATCCATTCGTAAATTTGCAATGACAAGATGATGTTTAGAAACATTGCCGCAAACTACGTACTGAGACAATGCGTGTCCACGTTGTAATACAATGAAAAGTTATATATATATACATCCGTTTTGCTTCTTACAGTTTATCTAAAGTAAAAAATGAAGTTGTGAATGGTTGAATCATGAAATTTAATGCCGTTTGTTCATATTGCTAATTGAAATTGCGAACATGAAAACATGAAAATCCCGCGAAATACGAAGTTAAAAGTACCAGTAAGGCATTTATTTGATGATGCAACGTGCACAAGTGAGTAGCTACCTAAAGAAATAATTAGTCACTTACTCGTACACAAACGTTTGATTTGCTACGTCCCTTACACTTGTCGGCTCTATAATTTGTCCCCAAATCAGCCATTTTGTCAGTCTTCTAAACTACTTAACCTTGAGGCAAGAAATTTTACCTCCCATAAGTGTTCTTTCTTTATGTACTGCTGCTTACCGATACACCATTTCTCTCTTGTTGGCTGACCTTCTGCATTGCGCTTGCAAGAAGGGAAGAAAGTTAGAATTTCGTGAAAAGACACTTTCCTCTTATTCCCCTTGAATAAGGAAATAATGGAATAGCAACTTTTAAAAGGCTCAGCTTTATCGAAAAGGTTTTTTCGTTTTAGTTGAAGAGCTTGCATTCTTCAACGTTTTGTCTGATTGGTTGGTTCTCTGAATCAAAAAACCACGTCCGGCCAAAAAAAGGTACCAGTGCCTTACGTCGTCCATAGACATTTTTACTTCTTTCAAAAAATCACAAACATTCGTTTTGATTAATAACTGATCGATTTAAACACATTATAAAGACTTAATGGATCATCCCGATAAGTGCGTCTCAACGAGATAATTTGAGTTCATAAATGTACATAACTTGCACATGTTGCAGTTGTTCTTACTTTTTTTTTTATGCCGCAGCTCATTTAACCTCTGCTCTCTGGCCTTTTATATAGTCCTAGGTACTCTCTTTCATTTGGAACATCCCTGTTTCGTTCATTTAAGGAAATAAACCCCCATGCAGGGATTTGGGTGGGAGGTTGTCGAAGGGAATGTTAACGTGAGATGACGGCTGTGACAGAGAGACAGTTTGTAAACGGGATTTGTGGTATTCAATGCACTAACAGCCGAGGTATCTTTCAGCTCCCTGGGGGACAATGGGATGACAGCCCCGTGCAACGTGAACTGTAGCTGCTCGCTAGCCACTATAAACCCCGTGTGTGGAGAAGATAACTTGGCTTATTTCTCGCCCTGTCACGCTGGATGCAAGGTCTCCCAAGATGAAAAGGTAATAGAAAAAAAAACACCTCCTTTGTTTAGTAAAACTAAACTGCAAAAAACCTCTGACCATGCTCACTGTCTTGTTCGGGTCTTGTGTGAGTGCCCGCCTTATGCGCGCTACAGGTCTAAGAGAAGAATGGCATGGAAGACGTAGCTATTTACTCCTACCCTTTTCCCATTCTTACGATTTGCCGATTTGTAACCTACGATCTTTCCCTTCATATACGAATACGAAATTGGAGAGATGCTAAATGGCCCATCAAAACAGCTTGACAAAATATCTTATTTTGAATTCAAAATACTTTTCCACTCGTATTTATCTGGAAAAATGTTAGGGAGGTATTTTCCCCTCCCCTAATTCAATGTTGGTTTGCGAATTCGCGAAAGTGCCATAGCCTTGGTCAACCCTGATCAGACGCAAAAAAACATTGATTAGGGACGGGAGTGGGAGGGGGCACAGCTGTGCTGTCTAGGCGTAAAAGTGTAGCTTTCTCAAGAATTTTTGTCCAAGATTGTCATCTATGATAAGACTGAGATAGCTAATTTGCCTTCTGGTTTGATTTCTCTCTTTCATAGTCTTTCAAAAACTGCTCTTGCATTTACCCACAAGGCAACGTAAGCGAAGGTTCAGCGGTGAAAGGTTATTGTGAGAAGAGGTCTGGGTGCACGACGTACATAGCATTTATACTGCTTCTCATTTTAGTTCTGTTTTCGGTGTTTATCACCGCCATATCCAACAAGACGGTTGTGCTTAGGTAGGTTATAATATACTCAAATATTAAATACATGAATTTTATGGAGGATTTGTATAGATGTTTGATAAAAAAAAATAACAACAACAACAATAACTTAATTTGTTGAACAGATATAATTACATCAAATTGGGGAACTAGGAAACCCCTACGGGCTTTTACAAGTTTCCCCTATTGTCAGGGGCGTACCTGCCCATAGACCTGTAGGTCCAGGCCTACACTGAATTTTCGGTTTGATCACTCCCCTGACCGCTTGTAATAAATTATACGTTGTTGGGGTGAGCTAAAAAGTTTCAGAGCTCAAAGTGTTGGTGAAGTCAGTGCGTACTAGTCATGCGTGCAATTTTCAGGATACTGTGCAAATGAAAGTCAGCTAGGCCTACAACTAGTCGAAAAGCTGGCTACGCCCCTGATTATATTTTCTTATCAGGTCTGGACGCCATATGCAGCATAACCTAACTATAATTACCCACAAGTGAGCTTTACAGATACAAAGTCTACTGTGTTCCATACAAATACTTCAATTATCAAACGTAACAGATTGAAAATCCCTGCTGGTGAGCGGTGAACCAGTTGGATATTTATGTGTCTGGCTAGAGAGTGGAACTTGGGGCTTCCCTTGAACTCAGGATCTCTGAACTTGCAACTGTGAGGTTCCTGAGGTTTCACTATCTGAATTTTGTGTATGCTATACATGCATTGCGTGCGCATGCCGCTTTCAAGAACAGTGACACACTAAATCTTCGCATTTTAGGTAGTCGCTTACGGGAGGTTCGACTGTATATTTTAACGCTGTAAATATGACGTAGCCAACCTCGAAACAACATCAATTCTTGCTGTGTTTGTTCTAAACACGAACGTATCACTCGCGCGATGACGACTGTCATTTTTGAATGGTCTCAGTTATGGTTGTCGTCGATAATGTTTTATACCAGAGTTTGTACAAGGGCTATTAGTCAGTCACATTTGCATGGTGAGGTAAGAGGTAGGAGGTGTGGAGGGAGGGGGAGCTGCGAGTATCTTTTCTGTCATCCCCAACCTTGCACTCGCAATCGACAATCGAAAGATTGATTCATTTTGGAGTCATGATTTGCTATGCTTGAGAAGAACACTTTCACCACAAGTAACTATACAGATCTCTAACCTCAGTGCACTCTTAATATTTCAGATGTGTACCGTATAATCAAAGAGCATACGCCCTTGGTTTCCAGTTCATATTACAGCGGTCTCTGGGATTCTTACCAGGTCCAATACTTTTTGGTGCCATATTTGATAGTTCATGTCTTTTGTGGGGGAGGAGCTGTGGTAAAAAAGGGAATTGTCAATTCTTCGACATGACTAAGTTGACGGACCGGCTTGGTTACGCTGGCTTCAGTTTTACAGGTTAGTTGTTTTCATGTACTTATCGGAGGAGAGAGAGAATATCCCTCCGCGCAGCTGCCTTCAATTTTCTTAAGCGGTCGGGGATTTTCACGCGTTCCTGGGTCGTTCTTGACTTCGAGAAGTCTCTCTTTTTCCCTCAGATTTAGTGATGGGAGTAAACACGCGCGCGAGTGTCGAGCGACGAAGCTGCAAGACGCCATAAACGAGGGCGGAAGCCCGAGAAGCCTCTTCTGTCTCATTCATCACTTTTTACTAGTATCAAGCATTTGGCTTCGTCAATTTCTTTTTCCCAGGTTAACGACAAACTTTACAGAAAAGGAGCTACCTGTATTACTCAATTCGTTCTAGGCTTAATTTCCGCTGTTCTTTCGGGTGCGGTCTTGTGGGCTCATTTCCGCAACAGCGGCTCATTCTCTCGTGGCATGCGGCTGATCATCGAGCATAGATTCGCTTGGACCACCCTCGTACCCAGCGTCTTCGTTCCCCTTGACCAGCGATCGCCTTGACATGAAAAATTAACTTGTTATATTCTTGCTTGTCCGCTTTGCCGGGTTCACGCGGTTAGCCTAGGGGTTACATGGCAAATTTCCACATAACCAGAAATCCTAGACAATCAGGGGCTTCAACCGCGGGCACATAAATTTTGGTATTCTCTTTTACAAGGTAACACTGTGTTTTAATGGTGGCATAGTCTAAAGAAAGTGTTTGAAACATAAAATGCAGCCTTTGAAGCCTCTAATCCTCCAAGTAGTCCCTCTCTTCTCAATAACTGGTTATTCTTTTATGTTTACTTTCTTTCAGGCTTGTCTTTGATTTTCTACTTCTTGTCCTATTGGTTCTGTAAGCCAACCATTGAAGAAGAAGAGGAAAAACATCGACTTGAACAGCTGCCAAACAAAGAAGCAGCAGAGAATGAAGACAACGCCAACGGAATGGGTGAATCATCTATATAAACAGCCAAATACAATATCCAAAAATCATTCATGAAAAAGGAACCTTTTTGAGAGGCAAAAAAGCCATATTTTTTTATTCATTGTATGTTTTCTTTACAATTGAAGGCATCTGCGCTTTCTTTCGTTTTAAAAGTAGGTAGGTATTAGGAAAGTTCGCTTATTTTAGATGTTTTTTAGAGTCTACGCCGATATTTTATTATGCTTTATTCAGCGGAGCAAGTTAAATGAGAGGCATATAGCTTACACTCGGGAATGAAAGATAGACGCGCGCATCCACACTAATGCGTTTCCGTTTGAAAACGCATACATTTCGATGCGTTCAGCCGAGCCCCCCAACACTAAAACGCTGATCGTTTTCATCGAAAACGCATCATGAAACGCATCACGTTCATGAAAGTGGATCAAAACAGAAACGCGTATACATATCGCGTAAGTGAAGACGGTCGAAAACGGTCGAAAACGCATCAAAATGAAAACGATGAATTAAAAGATCGCAAGCGCATGTGTTCAACTTACGTCACAACGTGTAACTATCGTTTTTCGAACGTTTTAGTGTGGAGAGTCGAAAACGCTTCATAGCGGTAGTGTGGATCGAATAGATTCATGTGTGGACAGGGCCTGAGTATGAAAGAGAAACACGAGTAGTCCTTCACGATTATGAACGCCGCATCCATTGCTTTTCGTAAGCACTGAAAAAAGTAATTCCGTTATTTAACCTCAGCAGTATTTATAGCACGTATGCTAGTGCGGCCGAGCAAATGCCTGAAACAAACTTAACAGGGGTTAAAAATCCCCACTGGCCGGAGGCAAACCAGCTGGCTATTTACAAGGTTGGCCGAGGGTTTGAACCCGAGACCACCGTGAAGAAATCCAGCTGGCGGTCAGGGCGGGACTTGATCTCGGGGCCTCCGAATTACAAGTCCAGTGCTCTAACCGCTCGGCCACTCTGCCTCCATAGAGTTTCTGAATTAAAATTGGTTATCAATTTTGGATTCTATGTTTAAATCAATAAATAAATAATTCCGTTATTTACCCTCGGCAGTATTTTAGCTCTAATGTTAACGGGACCGAGGAAATGACTGAAACAATATTATCTAAAGTAATCATAATGGGGTTAAGAATCCCAGCTGGTCAGAGGAAAACCAGCTAGCTGTTTAAAAGCGTCAGTGAAGCGTGGTCGAGGATTTGAACTTGAGACTACAGTTCCATGAACAAATCCAGCTGGCGGTAAATTTGTGAAATATTCAATGCTGAACTTTTTTATAACAGATATTTATCTTTGATAATAAAGAAATAATATTGATTTAAAGCAAACCACCAACGTCGACATGCAAAGCAAGAGGTGCTGAACTTGATAATATGTTCTCTTCATTCTTGCTAAACATGTTTAACCGACCCTGAAGATAAACTGTGTATTTATTTTGTTATAGCTCAATTTTATCTTTTTTAAAACTTTCTTTATACAATACTTGAATCAATCGTCATACATTGTTATACCCAAAGCTTTAATAAAAAAATAAAAATTGATCCACGGCATATACATGGCAGGGAATCGGTATTTGTGTTATAGAACGCAGGGAACCTGCAGGGTTTGCGGAGAGGGTCGCGGGAATCCCTCTCGAATCGGGAACATAATTAATAAACAATTATTGGATGAGGTTTTTGTGATATCCTGAATAATCAAGGTCGAGGTAAGTGTTATCAGCCGAGCCGAAGGCCGAGGCTGATAACACTTACCGAGACCTTGACTATTTAGGATATCACAAAAACCGAATCTAATAATTGTTTTATCATACATTGTTTTGAAGAAAATAACGACAAACGCACCATAGCAAAGGAACCTGAAATGATATTGTTATTGGAGATCATGCATTGCGCAACCTACAGATTGGTCAGTTATCTGCTAGCAGATAACTGACCAATCTGTAGGTTGCGCTGATTTCCAAAATTAACTGTAGGCTCTTAGTCAATGACAAGACAGATAATGAGTACAATGTATAATAATACAAATAACGTAAGCGCTAAGACCTTTTTACCGATACGGCGGCCATATTGAATTAATTAGATTTAAGGAGTATTACAGGATGCCCAGGGGGATGAGCACGACCCGATAAACTCACTCAGTATATGTACGCGCGCTTTTTGGGCCAACTTTTCTTTAAGTTTTCATTGAAAAAGATTGCAATGGGAAGAAAAGATCGTTGTACCGTTTTGGATGTAATAATGAACGCCTTTTTCCCGAGAAATATAAAGTGAAGTTCTCATTTTGCCCGAAAAGCGCGCATAAATACAGAACAAGTGCCACCTGGGCATCTCATAATACTCCTTAAATCTAATGAATTCAATATGGCCGCCGTATGGGTAGAAAGGTCTATTGAAAATTTTGACTACCGAGAAATCGCGTACCCCCGGGGGGTACTCCTCTTTAAAAGTGACGGGGTTGTTCGTCGGAACATTTCGAGAACACCCCCAAAAAGGTACCAGATTCTTGTTTCATGGGCGTGTCGGACAGCAAATTGGATCAATTTTTGCCAGTGCTGGTAAAGCAGTCGACCAGAAATCGAAGCAAACCTCGTCCCCATGGCTTTCGTTTGAAAAATGGGCGTTCTTTGGATGAGATTGCAGCTAAACCCGTGCTTTCGACAACATGCGAATCATTCTTGGCCACTCGTGCTAATGCGTAGCGTGGGCGATGAGGGAGGGTACAAACTATTACTATTAAACGATTTTAAACAGTGTACAGGAAATGTTTGGACACACATCAAATTAAGAAAAAATACGTCGATCCGCCACTGGGCCCGAGTTAAATCAGATTCCGGCGTATACATAGGCCATACTCCTGCATGTAAAAAATCACTCAAATGTATGGTCTACAATATTACGGATTATTATTAAAGCAATTTGGAGAATTGCGGGTACCTCTGAGAAAATCCTGGCTACGCCCCTGACGGTTTCACTCTGTAAACTTAAAATCCTTTCCCGGTACATCGTAGGCAATTCAGCGTCGAATTTGACAACTAAATAAAATGAAACAAACGGTACACTTTGCGCCATCCCCACTATCCAAACGCGGCCTGGAAAAGGCTACCCGTAACTTTGACCACCCCGTTCATATTACCACCTTTCCAGGACATATTATCACTCACCACCCCTTTATTACGCTTACCTTTTTTAGCAGTCAGTTGGAGTATCCTGCACAAAATACGTTATTTTATCTGCAGTGTTTTCAAGCGTAAGACGCGTGTGGAACTCGAGAAACGAACAACCGCAGAAGTCTTCTTTATATCTTTAACGCCTCGTAGGGTTAGGAGCAGACAAATTTTAACAAAATTGGGAGAGCGAGAAAAGCAATTCAGACAGAATGCAATGAGTTTAAGTTGAGTGTAGTTACTGAGGATTCCGAATCCGTTTCAGGATTCACGTAAAGGAACCAGAAACGCTGTTGCTATAGTTTTGTTAGATTCCATTACCCGGATTTAGATTCTGCCAAAGAAAAGCATCTATTGCCATAGAAAACACATATCTGCCGATGGTAACTGGTCAAGTCACCCAAAAGTCATCTCACCCGAAGTTTTCGCCCAAATACCGGATAGATACGCAGTCACGAATCATAGAAAGCGCCTTAAAAATTTGTAAAGACAGTGACTGCATAGGTTAGCAGCTTCAGACGACATAAATCGAGCATTGCTTGGGTGACTTAAGCTAAACCCAGCCGATACGTGAGTAGCTATGAAGGCAGCCTTTTTTCAGCTTTTTCTTATGCGTGTCCACTAAGAGGATGGATCTCGTTTCGAATAGCATCGTGTTTTTATCGTCTGAGTGCGGACACAAGATTATAATGTCAAGTGGACTGAAATCAATCAGATAAGGCCCCGACGACACGAATCGGCTGAAACTGATTACGAAAAATAATATCCGGGTTTCAACCGTCTACAAAAATTCGCAAATCAGTTGGATCCAAAAAATTACGAGCAGAGCGGTATCAAAAAGATGCGGTTTCGGTGAGTGGATTCACTGGATTCGTGCGGACTGAAGGCCGATTCGTGTAAAAAAGAATATGCGGTTACAAAAATATTCGGATTCGTGTGGACGGTCGAGGCCTAAAGGAACAACCTCCCAAAATGAATGCCCTGATATTCTCACAAACTCTCCATGGTGTCCGGTCACCTCGCCTCCAGACTCGTACCCAGTCGCTATTTATGTGTTTTTTGGGGTGAGAGAAGATAGTTATTTTTCCTTCGTACCTTCCCATGAGACCCCGCGCGCCTCAACCTAACCCCCAATCTTGTGTACCCCCCAAAACACATAAATAGTGACTGGGTACGAGTCTGCCTCGGCACCAAGAAATGTATATCCTAATACCTATCGAAAGAACAAATCCCTAAAAAGAATTTTTTCAATTTAAATTTACAATGAAATTTAAGGAGGTAAAGGTTCAAGTGACAATATTAACCAATTTTCAAAAGAAAGGCTGTTGGATTTTAAACAAATCGCACCTCTCAAGCGATGAAAATAAGCCATATTAAGGTATTAAAAAGTCGCAATTAATCACAAAAAATAAAACTAAAGATGAGAAGTTCGACGTAAGGTGTCAATTAAAATCGATAAACTTATATTTGGGCTTGAGGAAGAACTAACAATCCCGGGTGAGTAAACAGTGTCAATAATTGCAGAGTTATTATGTGGTGGCGAGATGAACGTAAACCCTCTTCATAACTGGAAGCTGGTGTATTCCAAACGAGAGGGGAGAATTTATATTCTTCTTGAGCCTGTAGATTTAGGGTTTAGACAACAACAAAATAAATAATTTACAAATTAGTTTTATTGCCTTGAAAGTTCCCTCGGTATTACTAGTTATAGAATTAACTTAATCTGGCGACATGCATGAGCTTTCAAATAAAGACTATTATATTCAGAAATTACATGGCTGTTTAATTATTTCAGTTTCAGGAACACTTCGAGCTCCTCACTTTCAACAGCTTGTTCAAACTCAGCAAAGCCCTGAAAACAGAAAAAAAGCAACAAATGATATGATTCACCAAGTTAAAAGACATATAGTTGTATTTATGCTTGTTCCAGGGTTAACGGTCGTTTCCGTACAAGTTTCAAATTCCTTCGAGGTGTAAATAGTTTTAGGTACTTGGCTTAAAGTACGAAGAATATTCACCCAAAATGTTTTTCTTGTTCAATTGGAACCTTTACTTGAAGTAATCGATATGTTTTTGCAATTTCACTGCTTGAGTTCATATTGAAACGACTTGTATCGAAACAACCGGTTTCCTTTTCCGAGGGTCCGTTTCTTGAAAGTCCCGGTAACTTTTCCGGCCCTAAATTAAATATTTGAATCAAAATCTATCAAGAAAAAAAGCGTCCTTCGAAGCTAAAAAACTGTTGAAACTTCGATCTTGAAGGTAAACGACAACAGCTTTCTGGGCCCGTTAAATATGAAGACTTTCGAGAAACGGGCCCAAGAGCGTGTTTCTCGAAAGTCCCGGTAACTTTTCGTGCCCCGAAAGCTGTTTTGTGTTTGCATTCAAGGTCAAAGTTTCAGTAATTTTGAAAATAATACAATGAAACTATCAGTTATCAAAGCAATTTGGACTGGTTTGTAGGCTAGGAACTGTGGTAATATTCAACAGGTTTTGGTTTTAAAATTTTCCTTCTGGCCCGAAAAAGCTCGAAAAATTTCCGGGTCTTTCGAGAAATGGGCTCCAGGCGTTCATATAGTGAAGTGTTGTGGCACGAAGTCAGAGAGCGGAAAAAAAGAAGTGAGAAGGGCCTTTGCTTTGTTTACATTTTTTGTTTGAGACTTTTCACTTCTATTTTTTTCATTTGATTTTGTTGGTCTTAGCAAGTCTTTTTTTAGTAGAAATGTTCTAATCTCTCTTTCCCCCAAACAGATGATTTCACGACTCTCTCTAACAAATCAGGGTTGTTACTAGGATTTCTAGTTGCCGGGTAAATACAAAAAGTAGACGGGGAATCAAACAGCTGGGGATTTCTTTTGGTTCTATTTCTCTTCTATTTTCCAATGAAGGTAGCTGGGGAAAATCCCTGCCCCTCCCCCCCCTCCCCCCGGCTCTTAATGACAGCCCGGCAAAGGGTCACTTAATGTTTGTTCCAAAGCTGGGCTCGAACAGAGTTTTGAATTCCAGCTTGTCCTCTCACATTTCGCTTGTCCAGGGACACTTTTTGCTGGTCTTAGTTAGTGATTTCCTTGGAGGATGAGTTGTTTCGACCGTTGCCTATTGGGCAAGTAAGCTTTCAAAGTCCCTTTCCCAGCAAGAAAAATGTATTTACATTCGGCGGAGCTAAACGTAGTGGCAGTGACAGAGAATGTATTAAAATACTTTCCTATTGGTATGAACGCACGTGAGCCGCTATGGCGTTAATTGACTCAATTGTTATTAGGTATATAAGGTTTTGACAGTTGTAATGTATTCATCTCAGCTCTCGAACTATCAACTTTTATTTTGTATATCTTACTTTATTCATCTATCGATTGATTTTTTACCTTTAACCCCCAGAGGTTGTGTGACCGCATCGGTTGGGGAATACGTTCCCAATTTTTTCCCATTGGGTTTTTGGGTTTTTCGTATCAGGCGGCGCACGTGATTAGTTTAGCCTGAGTGACTTTATTTAGGAATATTTGTATATCATTCATTAGTTATGATGTTGAACTTTGTATGATATTTGGACGGCATTAAACATTCAGGCTCCATAGTTCGAGCTGCACACCCATTCCCATCTCTTAGTCGTGAATATAAATAGGAATTGGGACTTTTTTCAAGCCCTGCAAAGGAGGGAACTGTAGAGTGGCTCAACTGGTTAATTCAATTGTTAAAATCTAATGATACTCACCCCCAGATGCACATCTCCTTTTGTCAGCTGAGGTGGAAGGCCTTTTGGATCACCCATTATCTCTCTCATTTTGGCTTTGGCGGTTTCATTGCCAGCAATATCTTCTTTATCATAGTCAATTTTTTTGCTGTCTAGGATCATCTCTATTTTCTGTTGATGTTTTTTCAGCTGAGAAGGAAAATTTGAAATGCAGAGGATACTACATAAAAAAGCTGAGACAAATACTACATGTGCAATACATCTGAAACTACTTCTAACTACTATTCCCATTCACTGCAGAAGTTTTTTTGTAGTAAGATATTCAGCAATCATTGGATGGGGCTCAGTATGATCTGAAGAATTATGGAGACTGAGGGGCAAGCCCTAGGATTTCACAGTAACAATCATTTCCAGTATCGTATCTCTACTGCTGTCTTAAATTAAACTAACGGAACTGAAATATAGTTTCCCAGTGACATTTTCAGCCTTAGAGATCAACAGAAATTCAGAACAAAAATTCACTATTTTTCCACAGAGATTCTACACTACTAGTGCAATTCTTTCTTTTAATATGACTCAGCTTATACATAGTTTTCTCTTGTCCGCCATCTTGATTTTTTCCCAAAGTGCATTGCATGTTACTGCTTAACGCCTATAATACCCAAGAAAAAAGTATGACTACGAGAAATTGAAACCTTTAGGAGGTGGGTTCCCAAGAATTTTTACAGAACCAAAAAATTGTTACAGATGGTTTATCCCATGATCTCTGGGCACGGAACTAAAAAATTATTTTCCATGGCATTTGAAATCCTAGGGCTTGAAGGAGGGTGTTAGCCTTCAAGGCCAATTAAAAAGGCCTAACTGTGGCATGCCATTTGCTGCAACCATTTAATTTAATCTTGCAAATAATTATGTTATAAGAATCCAAAAGGCATTTAATTTAATTCTATATGTACAGTTTATTAGTTCAATTTAGTCATGACTCTTAAAAAAATACTCATTCAATCCAATCACAAAAATATTTATTCAATTCAATCACAATAGCTTTTTAATCAATCCACTAATAATTTTTTTCCAATCTATGTATGGTTTTATATCAGGCATGGACCATAAAAACTATATGAGCATGCCTTCTGCAGCCACAAAAAATAAAATTTCACAACAGCTTTGAGAACAAAATACCAAACCCGTAATATGAAATCCAGAAACGGAATCATGGAAACTGAATCGGAATACGGTATCTGTGAAAAAAGGTTCCAAGTGACTGATTTGGAAATATACTACTACTACTACTAATAATAAAAAAAATACGAACAAGAAAATAAATAAGCAGATAAAGTACAGTGTGAAGACAAAGACAATAACTTCCCAGGTCACAGGAGACTGCTGTATGACTAGAGGAGTCGATTCTGCTGAAAAGAATTTCCATCCCATTCTCATGGGATAGCAAAGTGAGAGAAAAATCCATGGCTGAGACATCACCAACAATAATTGTTGGTGATGTCTCAGCCATTTAGAAAGGGGTAAGTCATATGGAAACAGACTTTCAAATAATGCATCATGTAAAATAAGCCTCTTCAATGTATACGGACATCAATGGCAACTCAATGACACCATGATTCCATCAGCATTCAGTTTGGCAAAAAAATTGAACTTATTGCAGAAATGCTGGAAAGTGTGGCCATGTCATGGGTCTGTCATGTGTTAAGTACTGTTTGGGGACAATCACAGTGAGGTCTGAAGCCAACTACTACTACTCTTGGCATGTGCTCTGAACACATGCTAAAAAGGCAATGTTTAACTGTATTACTGTTTTACCCGTAAACTGGTCAATAAAAATAACTAGTAAAAAAACTTTTATTGGCCCTACAGTGGAATAAATCACACTATGGCACACCTATAAGGTAATATTTCCCTTAAGGAAACATATTAATAAGAATATAGAATGTAAAGACAAACTAAAACAAATTATGTTTGGATTGACCTTAAATTAAGGAATGTGAACTTCTTTAATTTTCTATCATTGATACAGTATGTGATTATTCCGTATTCCGTTTTAGGATTCCATATTTTTGGACTGCCGCCTCGCGAAAAGGATCATTGCCTTTCACGCTAAACATATAGGTACAAATTATGCTTAAAGGGACAGGTTCACGGTTCAGTGCATGCTTGTTGATCAAAATGCTCTTTTCCTGCTGGGACATGCTGTATCGTCTATGAAAGCAATATGATCAATGTCATAATGTCGTCAAAGAACCAATCTGCACACTCCTTTGGCAGTCACCTGACCAACTTACTTGTAGGTGCAAATAACTGTAAATTAATTAACCGTGGAATAAAACCTTCGGGTCAACAATAAATTCAACGTTGGTAGTGTTGGCATAATCTACTAATTTTTCTGCGATATTAGTACTCCTCCATCTCACTTCACGTTACTTTGAAATACACTCTGAGATCGCTGAGATATATGTGAGTAGGATTATTAACCGACAGAATTAATGATAAATTGGAAAAAAAGTAATTTAATTAATGAGGATGCGCTGAACTGTGAACCTGTCCCTTTAAGCCTTTGTTTAACTCTTCGTGATTTCTATCTTGTTTGGAGTATATCCAAGTACTTGCATATTAGCATATAAATCAGAAAAAAAAATGAACACGAATAGATAAACTTGTAAACAAAAGTTATTTGCATTGTTATGAAAAAATATTGTTTTCCGCCCAGCAATTGAGATTCCCTAGCCCATATATTAAACGCCTCATTACTCTCAATCTGCATGTATAGCTATTCACCGTTGCAGAGGTTACTTCTTATCAGAAGACCAATCAACAACACATTACTATGTCTCATCAAGGATAATACTATTCTGTTGCAAATGCAGACTGCAATTTCGCATTTCGCATAAATTAAGCTTTATCCAAGAGAACCCATGTATTTGCTAATTTCCTGCTACCACTGCTACTAAACATGTACAAGAAATTCGTTTTTTCTGCAAGTTGACTTGAGATCTGAATAACAAGGACCAATCCAGCGTTTCTCTAGTTTAGCAAGCAACTAAATTGTACGGAATCGTCTATAAAATACGCTAATAAATATTTCAAATCACCAGACAAAAACACACCCCCACTCATGCGTGCCTTCCTTCGTACAGCTAAATAAACATAGCGAATGAAAGTAAAATATAAGACTTACCTCCAAATTGCTGGAAACAGATGAATAGTAATATGTTATACGAGACATGGTACAGGGCTTCAGAGAATTTTTTCAACTCTATACTTTGAAGATAAAATAAAGGCTTATTTCCAGCAATGCAATGCAAAAGCAAGTGTCACTCAACACCGCACGATTGCTTCTTCACCTTTTGGCACTTTTACGTCACGCAAGAGCTTCCTCCTCGACAGGCCCCAGATTTGTTAATCTTTCGACTACGATGGATATTTTCTTGCCTTTTTAATAGACGAAGAAAAACGAGATTTAAATTTATAACCTATTCCTCAGCCTCGTACACCAACTAGGCGCTTGCTCAGGAACGAAAACCTCTAGTTACCAGATTCCACGCCAAATAAAGGGAAGGAACGCCTGGCTAGAAATGTTGGGGGTGTTGTCATTATTATCTTGGATTCGATTACATGCCGAAGATTGGACATCATTCAGTGTTTCATCCGTTGGTGTATCTCTTGTTGCAATCATGAGTGGAAAAGTTACGCTGTTTATCTCCGGTATTTCAGGGAGCAAGGAGGTATTTTTTGCTAAGTTTAATGATTTCTTACAAATTGCTCTTGGTGTCGACTTGAATAATGTGTTAATTTTTGAACAGTCGAGTGTAACCCGGGGTGTAAGTGATCTTCCATAGGAGTCGTGAGATATTGGACCGCAATAAAGTTTATAGCGGTATTTCACCGGCTTCTTATACTGTATCACTTATGATTGAGCTTTTAAATCTATCTAATAACAGTTAGCTTACAGATTTTACTTCGCGAAAGGCACTCATTTAGGTCTTTCAATCGAAGTTTGTGATCCTAACTTTACATTTCAGTCACAGTTACCCTTGTGCTCTCTTCGGAGATCAATGAATTAATCTGAAATTATATCATTTGAACCGATCTTATGACATGATAGCTTATCTTGTATCTCTGGCACAGCGCTAGGGTCCAGAAAAGTATTTCCAAAGATTAAAGGTTATCATTTTATTTTTGAACATATAAAGTTGACTCATTTCTCGCCAGAGCATAGTTTCTTTAAAATGCTAAAGCTGTTTTGAATCTAAAACTTGACTTGTCAAAGAAATTGAGAAAACAAAGAAGTTCGCTTTTCCAGTCAGTTTCCCAAAATAAGAAGGTTCTCTTTCTCTGCAATTTATGCTTCAATCAGATTTGAAAAAACTAACTGGAAGAAAATTGAAAAGTCCATGCCTTAGTCTTTTGAATGGCCATTTATATTCTAATAAATGGAATAATTACTGACGACATATTTATTTCAGAATGAAATATTTTCCACAATTTCATTGCATGGAAAACAAGTCCAGAGCAGGATTTGGGGGTACAGGGTCCTCAATAGCTGGTAGATAATTTAATTTTAACCTTTTCNCTGCAATTTATGCTTCAATCAGATTTGAAAAAACTAACTGGAAGAAAATTGAAAAGTCCATGCCTTAGTCTTTTGAATGGCCATTTATATTCTAATAAATGGAATAATTACTGACGACATATTTATTTCAGAATGAAATATTTTCCACAATTTCATTGCATGGAAAACAAGTCCAGAGCAGGATTTGGGGGTACAGGGTCCTCAATAGCTGGTAGATAATTTAATTTTAACCTTTTCTGACTGAACTGCTGAACACCTCCCTTCACCTACAGCAACACTAGCCTCCCATGCAAGCGTTTTTAGGGGAGCTCGTATTTCGTTCCTCCCCACAAACCCGTGCTCAACTGAGAACAAAATTCCTTTCCCATTGTTTTATTTGCGTGGTGTGACCAATCAACAGTTTTGAAATAAAGTGTTGACAGGCTAAACAAGACTCATAAGCTTGTGGTATATATATAGTGTAAATAAATATACCTTTTTCCTAATTGTTTTTTTTCCTTTGCTAAGGTTATGCAGAGCATGGAGTATTCTAAAATCTGACTAAATCTTACTTTTGCCGCCCCGAGTCTAACATTTATTAGAGGTCATAAAGCTTTCTCAGTGATGTTTTCATGCAGATCGAGTATTTATCAGGTTACCCTGTAGTCAAGGTAAACCATCCAGAATTTGGAAGGTACAATGTGATTGGCTTGGTTAAGCTTGGGAAAGGAATGTTGTTCTCGGTCGAGCAGGCATTTGTGGGGAGGGACAAAATACAAGCGCCCCTACAAATGCCTGCAGTAACACATGCTTGTATCATAGCCTATCCTACAAGCCAGTATCCCAAGGGATACAACTGTCATTTGTTGCTTTTCTTTGCCAGATTAAAAAAAGACAGCAACACATTAGCAGCATGTTGCAGGCACAGAACATACCTTTTGAGACAGTTGATGTAGCATCTGATCCAGCTGCACTGGACAGGATGAGGGAACTGGTCACAAAAGGAAAGCCAAAAACAAAGGATCCTGATGATGAAGAGGAGGATGAGGAGGAGGAGGAAGAAGTCATCCTTGCTCCTCAGATTGTAAATGGCGATGAGTACTGTGGGGTAAGGAATTTACATCATTTGAGCCGCATAGAATGCCAATTTGACATCACTGGGGAGATCAACACATTATGGATTTCCCCACTCCCACATGGGGTTGGGTTATCCCTTGAGTATTTTCCCAATGCTGGTTGGTCTGATGAATCCCAGCCCCCCGAAATCTTTTTTTTTGGTACACAAAATTAACCCCTAAAAGGTAGTTTGTGAAGTGTTTTGTTTTTTGTGCTATATTGATCTTAAAATGGGTGGACATTTCACCCATTGTGGTTTGATTAATCAGGTATGGTTTTCAATTCAATGTTAAAATGTTTAAATTTAGTGTCTGTTTAGCTCCAACATTTCATGTAAAATACTATCTTTACTGATAAGCATATTTTTTTTTAATTATTAAAAAAATATGCTTATCAATTAAGAATATGCTGACTTTTCTTGGACAAGGTAATGGGTTAATAAACCATGTATAACTTTCAAAAACCAGTCTGAAAATTGATATGGGTTTTGGTCTAAAATGGGGTCAGAATTCGTAGAACCGGGCAGCACCTTAAATTATAGTTTATCTAATAATAATATTATTATTGGATATTATATTAATGAAATATTTCAGTTAATTGAAAATTTTTGTGAGTTCTTGTAAGAAAAGTGCTTATTAGATATATATATTTTTTACCTAGGGTTATGAAGACTTTGAAAATGCTATTGAAATGGAGAATTTGAAAGAGTTTTTAAAGCTGAAGTAACAGGATCAGTGGATTATATCTCTTGAACTTATAATGACGCAAGTTACATACAGCTGCACAAACTTAAGTTAAGACACTATAGGTGACTTTTAAAGTCAATCGATCATCCAGCTTTAAAGTATCAAAAAAATGGACTTTTCTTTTAGTACATTTATAATAAAAAAATTATTCTTAGCAGTTTTGAGCTTCAGATTGATATAGTGGAGTAGAACATGTAACTGAAACTGTAATGATTATAAAACGCTGTTTATCATGACCTGCTGTTACTGGACTATGTTTCCAGTCCATTGTAACTCCAGTTGGTACTTAGTTAAATGGGGGCTCCAAAAACTGCATAAATTATTGGACTGAGTAACAGGATATTCTTTTTTTACGCATCATGGAATGTACATCTTGTTACTATTTTAATACCATATAATACTGCTGGAAAAATTGAAAAATTACTTAAAACAAAAACAAAGGCAGCTAAGTTAGTTAACAATATTTTGTAAACAAAAGTTTTATGCAATAGCTTTTTTTATACGTAGCAAATTAAGACATAAAATGGTAAAAATGAATGATAAAATCCAATGTTTTCGGAGAAAACGAGAAATGTTTTTGATCATGCAAATTACAGCATTTAAAGCGATGTGGCACGAAAATTAACGTGTAACAGGGTGCGAAGATTATGAAAATACTTTCGTACGAATACCAAATAGCAAATTGATTATTTTATAAAGTATTTACAAAATAGTTTTCTATAATTATTCAAACAGCTCAGTCTTAAAGATAGACAAAAATTGCAATTTAAATTTTTTGCTAAGTTGCAACAGATGCAAAATTAATATGCTTACCATACTGTACAAGTTGTCATTACAACAAAATTTACAAGTTTTCCTGTATTGAGTGGATAAAACCACACAGGACCAATTTAATCACAGTTGAGCTCCCTAAGTGGACACCCATCTCAGCCACGCAGACATTGCACTTGCATGACACGCCAAAAGAATGTCTGTGTGGGAGGCTATTTAAAAGGAGAATTGTTGGTTTTCTAAGTGAGGGGAGAGTTTTTAAAACAGAGTTTTTCTCAAGGCAGTCTTAAGAAGAGCCATCTGCCTGGCCATTAAGATAGCTTTGTTTGTTTGTTTTTTTCATTTTCAAAATATTGTACTGAATCCTTATAAGACACCATGTATAAGGAAAGATTGTTGTTTCTAGAGATATAAGCTTAATAACTTTAAGGCTATTGGTCAATTTTTGTATCTCCATTCAGTCAATTAATAAAATGGCAGGTCTTCACCTGTTTATACTTTGTAACTTCAAAGTGACTGTAGTTATTAACTTATATGGTCTTTTTGTAGTAGGCCTAACTTGTAAGAATGTGGTTAAACAGCAGTTTTATACTACTAGTTCGGCACATTTGGCATCTTCCTTTAATGTCTTATGAACATGCTTAATGTCTAAATTACACTGGCATGTTAAAAAACATTTTGTAAACGGTTTACCAGTCCTTTTGATACAAAGTCGTTTCGATACAAGTTTATACAGTCGAGGTGTAAATTTATAGTTTTCACGTCTTTGGCGTAAAGAACAAAGAATATTCACCCAAAATGTTTTCCTTGTTCACACAAACTATAACTGGGGTGAACTAAATTTGTGTGCAATCACTGTTTGAGTTCGTATCAAAACAACTTGTATTGAAATGACTGATTTCCCTGTTAACACTCTGGTTAACACTAGAGGGGTGAATCCAGGAATTTTTTGGTCAGGAGTCTAAACTTGTGACATCATTGAAATTAGTGGTTTACAGTTGTTTATTTCTACCCTAACTTGCTATTATAATTATTTGCAGTCAACTTAAAATATGTAGGCCTTAATTAACAAAAAGGATTTTATAAAACTCGACAAGTAAAATCCCCATACCTGAGGCCTGAAAAGGTACCCCTTTCAGGCAGTCTAAATCCCCAACATTTACTATCAAGTTCTCTATCCAGGTTTCAAGTGACAGTCTAGCTGCAACACAGGCTATCTTGTAAGTGAATAAGGAATAGTGTCCCCTTTTTCCATTTTACACATTAATTGTAATTTTAAGTAAAACAGAATGAATCTGGCTTAAATAAAATGATATTAACCTTAGTGTTGACAAGCATCTACCGGTAATCAAAAGAGATCATAGTGGAATCGGAATTTTCAATTTCAATTTAAAATATTCAAAGACCTTGGCATGAAGTGTCCAAAGTGGACGGAAAAAAAAAGACCATTAAATTCAATATGCTTCAGGCATTATGGATAAGGCATTTCACGTATGGTTATGCATATCTCCCAAAACCCGCTTTAACTAACAATAATTATTTTATTCATTAGGACAAGAATATGTTTTCTTGAAAGTTAATCTGTTCCAAAATATCTCTGTCCAAAAGATGAAGGGCAATCTGAGTGAACCTCTGATGTTAATATGGTGACAGAAGGAAAATTCTTCAGCAACAGCTCAACACCTTGTCAAGAAAGTAATGATAATAAATGAATTTAAATTAATATAAATAATTAATATAAATTCGCAAATAAAAATTACCACACACATTTTTCCCGCAAAAATTTACTCCAGAGTAAATATTCTCTGACTTAAATTTGCTACACAAATGTACAGTACTAAGAAATCGTGCCTATTCAATCACAACTTGTCTCTTTCATTCAGAAACGATGAAATACTGGTTTACTGCTTGAAAATAATTATGTATTTCTATTGCATGTACTCAATAAAAACGAAACTGTTATCAATGCTGGGAACTGGGTACTTTCTGAAAATCACAAAAATTAACTCCCAGCAAGAAAAACTAACCTATTGTAATCGCAAAAATCAGTTTCTGCAAAACACAAAAAGTCGCCAATCAGCAAAAATAACCTCGCGCAAGAATTTTGTGCCACACAGTATGAATGTGCAATGAGGCAGGTGAATGTGCATCCACTAAGTTACTTACAAAGTGTCTAAAATTAATTACATTTTCTTTCACTTAATTACATCTACGTAGTTCTTCACCCAGGAAAAAACAACTCAGATTAACTTTTTGTCTTGTTTATTTTTTTCACTGCAAATGATAAGAATCATCAAGGGGCTGACAAACAAGCACAAGAAACTTGTAAAAACCTGCTGATTGAATGAGTTGCAAGGTATCATTGGGAGTCTGATTTTTATTCTTGTGTGGTCATTTGATAAGGTTCTCATTACTTACCTTTGGGAGTTGAAAAAACATTTAAAAGGAGTATATTCTTTTCCTTTACTCCATGCTCAAGTAGAACCTTTATGGCTGTTATTACTGTAGCCCCAGAATCTGCTGCAGACCAAATATGAAATTAGATCATATCTTTCTAGGAGAGACAATAATTGCAGTGCTAAGACCAAAGCTATTAATTGTGCACATATGCAGATCTCTTCCTGACAGATGTCTGTATCACCAGTAATGAAAATTCTGGAACTACAGGTTTGGTGCAGATCCCACTTTGCAGTAACGCTAAATCCTGCGTCAGATCCATAAATGTAATCCTGAATTCCACTCCCATATTTTTTTTAAAATCCTGAATCCTCAGCTCTAAAAAGGCCAAATCCTGGATCCCAAAAAATCTATTGGGGACCCTTGGTACAGTTCATGAAAATGTATGCTAATGAAAAAAAATGATATAGTGCAAATTCAACCACAGCTTACTTAATAAAGGGTACATGAGGAGAACTCTTCTCTGTTCCATACCAGGAGGAAACTTTGCATAATAAACCTTGCAAAAAAATAACATAATAATTAATTTTAGTTTACGCAAATAAGGCAGATCGAGAAAACTTGAGTATAAAGATCTCATGGTGCAATGAGAAATAATATGGTTGTATGGAAAAAATGAAGAATTAATAATTACTGATCACACATGTTAATACTAAATTATTAATTTTTTCACAATTAATTAGCCCGAGAAAACAGCTGACATTTGGCAACGCCACCACTGGTTTCCCTGTCAAATGATGTCTGAGAAACGAGTGCAGAAATTCCATAATGATGATGCGTCACTACCCAGATCTCGGTAGCTGTAGCTAGCATGTACTAGCCCACAAGTCATTTTGACTGGCCTGAAAACCCTTTTTGATTATAGTAGAGCAGATATGTGCTTCAATTGTTCACTTTCTGTTAAAAGCATGAAATTTGGCATGATGATAGTTTTCAAAGCCCTAAAAAAGATAGGATATGGTGCCATCTCCAAAGAGCCCGTTAAGTGCGAAAAATAAGACTTTTTATTATGGCGGCCATTTTGAACCGCAAGTGAAATTAACATTTTCTTTAAAACGTCTGAATTTTAGCAACATGGATAAGAAAATGTCAGCAAATGCCTAAGGCAGCTGTTTTTTCATGCAAAGAGATATTATTTCAACGCAAATTGTCTAAAAAGTAGAATAGAGATGATATAAGTGGCCGCCAGCTAGACCGGAAGTAAAACTACCAGAGTCGGAACTAGACTGCAAGCAGTCTCTCTTTTTCTTCAGGTTTATGGCCATTTGCGTGTCTCGCGTTTTGCTCGACGGACTACAGAAAAAAGAGAGACTGCTCGTAGTCTAAGTCGGAACTTTTAAGGAATGAGCTTAAAATTCTGTTGTGCCTGCTAGTTTTCTTTTCATCACGTATAATCCATTACTAAA